CGAGAGCTATCTGTCTAAGGCAAGGGTTTTGTTTGATAGATTTTGTCAAATCACATTAGGGCTATCTGCCTAGGGGGAGGGATTCCTTCATGGAGAGATTTCGAGAGGAAACTGGCTCGTATACAGGGTACACATGGGGAAAACCATGAAAACGACCGTTCGCGGGATTCGAACCTCGGACCGGACTATCAGTGTTCAGGGACTTTACCGCTCGGCCGCTGGTGGATCGCCTACAACTTTAAAACGTCAACTTTCGCCAAATTTTTGGGTAAAAGCCCAAAACTTTAAAATTCAGAATGAAGGGGATCACATTAGATATGTGAAGCAAATGGAAGTTAAAATATCTTCATATGGTTCTCATTATAAGGATAAACACAATTTTCTGTTTCTCGAACTCAAAATTATTGTTCGCATAAATTGCCTTTGAATTTGGATTTTCTAAAAAATCCAAAAATCCTTTTTCTCAAGAATCCAGTCAATCACGTAACTTCACCGCCGTTCTTATCGAAGACGTGGAGAAATTTGTTCTGAGTCCCACCTCTCTTCGTTCGAGCTCACATTCCAACTTACACGGGAAACACTACAACTTCCGCTGTGCTTACCGTAACAACAACCCTCTGACAACGTTGGACTAATTCTAATTAAACTGCAGTTAGCGATATTTTCCTTTTTATTTATATGCTAATTTTTACGTTGAACTACTTTTTGTTTACTTTAAAATGCAAGCTATTTTATTCAAGTATTTACATTTTATTTTAAAAAAGTTTTTTTTAATTCCCTCTTTTTTAAGCATTATAACTTTAAAAAAACTAAAATTGAAACACATTCAGCTAATTGAAGATATAATTTTAATATATTCATGAAAGGAACATGTATTCATTATAAGAGATCAGATTCCGTTTTATATAGGTTTAATTGAGGGGTTATGGGAACTTTTAGAAAAGCTTCTGCGGAATTTCATTCTAGTTGCTGCAGACTTTAATGTTAATACTATAAATCTGTTCTCTTTTGAAAATCATCTTTTGAAAATTATTATAACCGTTTTTATCGTCATTAAGATTTACATGTTAAACTACAGCATTTAGTACCTGTTTTGACACATGAAACAAAAGCAAGGATACGAATGCATGTATTTAAAGCTCAAGCATACAGTCTCAGTTCATTCAAGTAGAACTTAGTTTCTTTTCTTTTCGCTATATGTTGATTAATCTGACTAAATTTAAATCCATTTTTTCCATTCCTCTGACTTCAATCTTTTTTGGAAGATGCGATTTCCGCCCTAGTTATTTTAAACACAGCTAGAGAATTTTATGAACGAACTTTCAATACTATGAGATTAAGTGTCTATAAAAGGACAGTTTTATTTCTTACATAGCCCTCGCAGAGCAGAAATACCAATTGGCAAAACATTTAATATGCTTTAATAAGTTAACTGCAAAGCGTTGCATATATTTAAAAGGAAAATTCAGGAAGTGGTGATTAACAGTTTCAAGAAACAGATAACAAAATTAATAGAGAGAGCTATTTCATCCAATATGAAAATATATCTAACACATGATTTGCTTTGACGTCTCTTGCTAAATCTGTTCAAAATCTCATTGAAATCATTTAGTGGTGTACATTGTAATTGTAAAAATTGTATAATTTGTTCTCTGAGATCTCTGCGAATTCTGTACATAGCTTTTTTGTATTTAACTTAAAATGCATCAAATATTTCATTACTCGAGATTTAGATCTGTGGGGACTTAAACTCTCTCACAGCGAAGTCGCCCGAAACGCCTCTGCATTTAGACATCGGCAGGGAGCCCGAACGCCTGCGTCCCTTTACTACCTGGTAATTTCCTCCAGAGCGTTAATGCATGTCTCATAGGTTTTGGAAGTTTTAAATGACATGCCAATCATTCCTCTGAAGCGACTAAAAGTAGCTCTCTTATTTGAATGCACCTTTTCTCTCCTTTGTTGAGCGTCAACATTTAACTATTGATGCTGGCAGTTGCAATCCTATCCTCAGGCGAAACTGCCCACAGTTGGTGATTCCCACAAGAGAAGCAATAGCTTCATTTAAATAGGTTATTGTGTTTCCTGTAGCATTCTATTTAGCATTAGGGAAGGAAATCCGTTCAAAAACAAATTCGAATATATGGGCGTTTCAGATGTTTGAGAGGAACATATTTTGGCCTGTACCTATGGGAAAGAGTTAAATTAGATTTTATTGTTTACAAAAACCCTTTCTACCGTTAGTGTTGAAACGTTTTTATATCATATTTTGAGAAAATTCGTTGCGGAAGGCATAATTATTTAACCTTCTGGTAACCAAATCTTTTAATTTTGGGGACGTATGAGACACGATGTTATTGAAAGGGTTAAATAAACCGTATAGCCGCATCTTTCGTACATCCTGCATATTTGACCATATTTATAAAAAAAATTACTTAACAATTAGCGCGAATTAGTAAAGCGACAAAAGACGTAGAGACAATATTTTTTCTTTTCACTAAAAGTGTACAGTATTAACGAATGAGAATCAAAATTACAGACATGATAAAGATATAGCTTGAAGTATTCTAAAACGGATACTTCCAGCTAGACATAATGTTGACAATGAACATAAAGCTGTGAATAAGGATTAACTGGCAAAACCTATTTTCTGTGAAAATTAAATTTGAAAAATCTTTTAAAATATGATAACAAACTGTAATCGGTGATAAGTTAGTAAATTTCACAAAAATTTTCATTTGTTTTGAAATTTACTAATCAGTAAAAGATTATTAATATGAATTATAAAACTGTTAATAGGTTTGATATTTTTATTACTAGACTAACTTCATTTACCCTTATCTAACAGCATTCTGTTCAATAAGTACATGCAATCCACCTAAAGTTTTGCAGCCATGATTTCAAGAATGTGCTAGTTGTGCTTTGCACAGGCATGCCACGGACTCTGATCATTTATATTAAGACGTCAAAAAGCACTCAGCTTAAGTAGTTATGTGATCCAAACGTCAGTATTAAATACAAACTGCTGCTAAAGCTCGTTTACATTTCTGTGCTTAAAGTTATAGTAATTAAGAATTACGTTTAATAACTTTTGAAAGGTGGACTAATGAATATAACCTTTATTAACATTTTGGTATGAAACAAACAAATTAAATCTTGTTTCCAGTTTCACACAAAGGGCCTTTTCTGAGTGTAATAATTCAATGTAAATTAAAAGATTAGTCTCTGGTACAAGTAATCAGAAAATTTATTATAAGAACAAAACTACTCTCCTTCTCGAGGGATATTTTTAATGAAACTGGTTAGTATTTTCCTTAGATGTAGGGAAAACCATAAAACATCCGTAGAAGTACTCGTATTCAACTTCTTCTCATGAGACTAGAATTCCCTCAACAATTATGTATATTAAAGGAGCTTTATTCACTCAGCTATTGTTGAGTAGCTGTTTTAAAATAACTTTTCTTTTTAAGGTTATGTAAATAAAAACAAAGGATAAGAACTTGCTCTTTTCTTGTACGCTTAATTTTACTTGAGAAGAAAATGTAGCTGTTTAATGCGTTATTTAATTGATAAATTACAAGTTAAATTAATAAATTAAATTTTCTCGAGTTTCAACTAAAAAGCTGTGACTTGAAAAAGAGCATTTTGGAATTGCTTCTCTAAAGCGGAAAGCCATTTTTCTATTGGTTCCATATTCGACAAGAGATTATATTTTTAAGGTTTTATTTGATCGAAATTATTGAACATATATTTATTATGAGAAAGGTATCTCATTAAAGTTGATATGAAATTTTTTTACGATTTTACTAAAATTTTAAACTTTTGCTTTTCTACCCTGCCCATTTCACCTTGCATTTCACTTGCTCATTACGTAATTTATAGTTAAGAATAATAGTGACTAAAAGAAAACTCATTATCATATTTCTGATTGATTGATTGTTTGAAAAATTTAATGACATTTATCAGTACTTCGATCTGCCTGGCTGACACCTTACAATCTTTATTCGAGTCCCTGCTGGTATACCTATCATTTTATCTAAAAGCTTAATGGTTTACAAATTAATTTTTCTTTAAAAGATAATGAACGAAAGCATCGCAAGAGGGAAATGTTACAGATAATACCATTTCCAGCATTACTGCAATATAAATTTTAGCGATAAGATTAATATTGCATTTTTAGGAAAAAAAGAAAACATTTTAAAATGTGCTTTTTTATTCCATTATTTAGATGTTAAAAATAGTAAAATACCCATATTTTCAGTTTTATTTGTGAATTGATTACAAACAGTTAAATAGCTTCATAAAAACATTGAAATACATAAATTGTTTTTAAGAGAAATATGAGAGATGAATGAAAAACACATCGACGTATTTGAACAATAATCATGCTTTTAACAAATTCTCAAAGAAACCTGACTGATTCTTTCACATTGTATAGTCATATGCATTTTCCGTAAACAAATATTTGAAAATAATAGAAGAACTGGAATCAAATTTATTTTTTATTTAGTTTCGCTGGCATTCTCATTGTAAACAAATCGATTTAAATAAATATCGCAGTAATGCTACTTAAAATAATGTTATCTCTACGTACTCATCTTAAAAAATGCACTAAAAATACGCTTTTCCAGTTAATTTTCAGAGGATAATGTCATTCAAATTTCGATTTCTCAAGCAACTTGAGAGCAAAGAGCTGTATGTGCAACTAACTGATTATTGGCTTGGATTCTAAACTTTGAAATAAATGTTATTAAATTGTTAGAAATCGCAATTAAATCAGTTTACAGTAGTTTAATGAAGGTGTTAATCAATTGCACTTGAATTGAACTGTTTGTACATTTGAAATTATATTCTGTTAGTCAGACTTAGCAGTCCTATCTTCTTCTTCAGTTTAATCGTAATTAAAAACGAAATCAAATCTCTGAATATTCAAGTAGAACAAAGATTAATATACTTTTGTCACATGGTCCTATCCAAAATATATGTGATTTTGACCAACTTACTCAAGAGGTTCTTTAAGCCCATAGATACCAGGTTGTTTCAAGAGATCCAGAGCAGTAGGAGGCCGATTCGTGATAGGATGGTACGATTCAAGGAGCTCATCGATTACATATAGCAGCTGCGCCTTTCCTTCTGATCCTCGATGCTGTTCTTCTCTAATAATCTTTGCATTATTGACAAAGTACTCCTGGAAAAGAAAGACAAAATAATGAAAGCATTAATTCATGACTACATCAAAAATACTGTTCGAGACATGTTTAGATGCCAAAACTTTCGAACCATGTAAAATCGCTAATAAACTGTGACAAAAAAGGGAATTTTTTAAAGATTATAATCTTCACAAAAATTAAATTGTTTGTTCGCAGTTTATTCGCTTCAATAATAAACTGTTAGGTGCATTTAATTTGACATATAGATATAACGCTTTACTTAAAACTTATCTTGCCATTTCGTAAATTCACCAGTGTTTTCAAGAAATGTTATGCGAATGAAGATAGAGAGTTAAGCAATCAGAATATCTGGCTAAGTTATAATTTATTGCTAACCAACATCATGGTTGTTTCGCTACTGTTGCCCGGGGTGCTACTCTAAGTTGTTTAACTCAGTAGTGAGCTTTGCCTTTGAACTAAGTGAATGCATTCATGTTTAGCAACGCCTCTTTGAGGGAATACTGAATTTTATTCATTTATTGAGATGAAGGCAGAAGTTGGGTGGTATGACAGCCAGGTTTAATTTGCCCCTTCATATGGTAGAGTTTGATTTATTAATACTTTGTTTGTTTTAAATTGCATCCAAGTCGCAGTTTAAAATTGCAGCAAGTCGCAGCTTACCTTCTGTTAAGCTGTAACTGTTCTTTTAATGAATTCTGAATTTTGCTGATTTGAACTCCACGTTTGTGTTGCTTAGTTACAAATTTATCTTATATACCTGTTATGAATTTAAACTCTCAGTTCAGACATAGTAAAAGTTTAAACTTTCAGTTCGGACATAGTAAAACTTTAAGCTGAGATAGCAAGATAAACATGAAATTTAGGCTAGTAGGAGAATAAAGAGGCTGAAAGAAAAGTAGGATCTTCGTTAATCCAAATTTCTTCAGACAAAGTTACATTTTATTTAAACAATATCGAGTTTAAAAAAATCAGCAACAGTAATAAGCCTTAGTCAAAAGCGAAGTAAGAGCTACACTAAGAATGTACAATTCAAATACTTTATAAGGCATATAATGCCATATTCAGGATTGAAAAATAAACACTAAAAAGAGTTGGGCAGCAAAAATTAAAATTCGATGGCTTGGGTTTAGAAATAAGGAATTTTTATTTCTTGGTTTAAAAATTTTTGTTTTTAGCTTCTTAATTTAAATTTGGGATTCATGAATTTAAGCAATATTTTGGATATTTTGCAATTCGCAAGTTAATTTACCTACGAGATTTACACTCAAATAAAAATTTTCCGGGTTTAAAATTTTAATTGTAATTCTAATTATTTAGCTAATTTTAAACAGTAGTGAATACTGAAATTTTTTCATTTCCTTCTTGTAATAGTCGCATTATTAATATCACGTGTTATGATTTTATCAGTTCTAAGAGTGAATCAATTAGAAACAGTTACATTCAGTAGAAATTTTTCTCAATTCAGTGGAAAAGCCTATATCACTAGCTTTTGTCATTGTAACTAATACTAGAGTGCAAGCAACTGGGCGCCGCTTTTCGTAGATTTGCGTCTCAAAGACAATTTTTTTTTGTACATTAGGAGACATTAGGATTTTTTACGCTCAGAGACGGGAAGAAATGAGCAATGCCCTTGCCGAGACTTAAACCTCGGACCTCTCGAATACGCGCCGAGTGTGCTGACCATTACACCACGAAGGCGTGCTAAGAAGGCGGGAGAAATACCTTATAACTCATTATAACCATACACAATATAGTGGAAGAACAGCCCACTTTTAGACTTTTACATAACTTTGTTATCAGTTATATGTAGTGTGTGTGATATTCGTATTTTCCCGAAAAAAATACATCAGCAAGCTCGAAATATGTCTCAGTTTAGACGGTTCCACATTTTTATCTGTTGTTAGATCGCAGGCAAACGGGTTGGTTACTTGGTTAGTTTTCCCATGTTTTTAATTTGAATACCAGCGAGGTTCCCGCAGAATGTCCTCTGCGAAAGCATCCCTTTCCTTAGGCAGATAATTCTCCCCTGCACTTTGATATATTCAAATAGCCTAACCTAACCTAACGCCAACTTATGCTGTCGAATAAACCGGAAATATGTCTTTTAGTTTTTAAAGCCTGTCTCGTTTTGTTCGTAAAACGACACAAAACGCGTTACATTTGTATGCAAACTTTTCTAATCAAACTAACGATAATAAATCAGATATTGAAAGCTTAATACAGCATTTAGCTATATAGTATGTAAGTTTATAAATTAAAATAAGATTTTTACCTTAGATATATTTATTCTATCTCTCCAGCATGATGTACATTAATTACAGTGAAAGAAGTTTTGGGCACAACCTTCGAGAAATCTTTCTCATTAATTCAGCGCATTGAGCACTTTAAATGTGAAATAAAAATTATGTTGTACTTTCGTATTTTAAGATAATTTGGTGAAAATACGCATCTTTTTTTTATCGAACCCATTATCTTTTGAGGAAAAGATGGTTCAGTATGAAATCATATAACAATTAAATACCTTCTGTTCAACTAATGACTAAATCTTTCGTATTTTAACCGAGGGCAGAGATTATAAACATTTTATTGGGTTTTTAAAACACTGTATACATGAAATAATGAATGATACAATAAAATAAACATTAACTATAAAATGTTGTATCTTAATAGTAAAATCTATATAATAACTTCATTGAGGATCTCCTACAGTACTGGATTTTGGGATGCACTGAAGATGATTTTACGCTGTTCAGTATACCCTTCGCTGTCTCCAGACCTCACAAATTGTACAAATTGTGATTCTTTTCGTTGGAATATGTTAAAGATTCTATTTACATAGCCCCCAAAATTTAATTCACCGACAAATCTCACTGCCAGTGCACTTACGACCATTAGCAGCGGCAGTGTGAATCGAACTACAATACAGCATAGACGTGTGTCATGTTACCATAGAAAAGCCACATTAAAAATTTGTGATGATATGAATAAACTTTTGGGTACTTAACGTTTATTTTCACGTATCATTCATTGTTCCATGTACAATACTTTTTTGAAACACATGGTTTCAAAACACAATGATTTATTTATAATCACTTAGCATTTCACTAATAATGCATACCTGCATTAAAGAAGCTATAAGGGCAAACAGAAGTCGATAGCCAGATAATACACTCTGTCTATACACAATGCCAAACAAGTCCTCGTTTCGATGCGAAATCGTTTCGATGCGAAATTGTAGTTCGATTCACACAGAGTTAACAATGTATTAGGATATGTTCGGTGCAAGAAATATATTTATAAATTGATGGGAACCTTTACTGTAAACAATGAATAAATTACCATGAAAAAAAAATAACTACAAGCGCAAAAAATTTGTTTAGTGCGGGCCAATTTGCTTTAAATCTAGTAACTAAGAGCCTTGACACAAACCAAATCTTGAACTGTGTGACTATAAAACGCAACAGCATGCCCGCACAGACAGTGAATTAATGCATTACGACATACCGTCAGTTTGCACAGAGGCTTCCAATTAAATGCTGCAAGTGCTTTAATCGTTTTAGGCCCTTACAGTTTCTGGCGTAATCAAAGGGTAATCAATCGTTTCCTACTTGACATGATACAAACTCATCACAGGGTCTTTCAATTTCCGGTATTCCTGGAATTTAATCATACATCTCGGAAACAGGAGGCAGAGTTTTGTTACACTTTAACCTACAGTTGAATTTCAATAAGCGACACGAATTAACTTTGAAGTGTCACCAATGTAACCTATCTCTTATCTAAAAGCAAAATGAGATTGATGGTATGCAATATTGATGACACCTGAGGTTATAAAAAACTTTTCGTTTCTACTTCTGAATGAAAGAATAAGGAAATGAAGAACATACCAAAAGACATTAGTAGTAAATGGGAAATGCATTTTACTTCCATTTTAATAAATTATTTTCGACGTTTTCTGCTGTTTCAATCTAAAATACCTATAGTGAGTTTACAGAGAGCTACTGTTATAATCTGTGACTATTTTGCAAGTTAGAAAGCTCATATTCTTTAAGGTTAATTTAAAATTATTTCAGCCCATTTAACGTATTTAGTTACAGGATTTAATACCGTATCACTGTAAAGTCTAAATCTTACTCAACGTTCTCTAGCAGTACTTGGCTATCTGACAAAATATGGTAAATCCAAATCAAAACTTGATTCTAAAAACAAACTAAACATATATTTATATATCACTCGAGCTGCAACAGCTGAATGAATTGAAGTTAACTGCAAACTTTGCACGAAATTATATCCAAATAATTAGTAATTTTTAAATCTATTTTAACTCTGAAGGGTATCGTCAATTCAGAACCCCTTACTTCGGGGTTTTTTGTAACTAAAATTTAATTAAACTTTATTTACCAATATTAAATAGCTTCAAAAAACTAAAACAGTTGCACACATGTTATCGATCCCATATTTAATGTCGATAATACTTTAAATATGTGAGTAACAACAAAAGTCATGTTATTTCTCAGTTAGAAACATATAATATAAGAGATCGATATCAACATGCTTCTGTAATCCTTCTCTTCTTTTTAATCAGTATCTTATTTACACAGTTATTTTGCTATTAGAAACGTAGCACAGTCTCGCAAAGTAAGAAAAGTTTTATTCACTTCAGATAAGTCAGACACAGAAATCTCGAGATCCACATTTTAAATAACAAGAAGAATTGTGAAAATATTCATGAGCAATTGAAGCTTGGTGAACAAGCACAAGATTCTACGAAGTGAATAGAACATCTATGTACTGCTTCACGTTACACTGAGAAATACCTCTTTCAGCTTAAACTCTTTTTTTAGGGTCAAATTAAAATATCGAATATAACAAAAGCTTGCTCTGAATCATCTCTCTTTGCTGTACGCGAGCAGGGCATTTGCATATGAATTGCTCTAAAACTCAAACCATAACTGAACCCGAACCACTTAGATTATACTGAAGACAAAATTTGAAATATCTTTTCAAATTCGATGAG